ACACTAAGCAGCCTCTGAGTTAAACTTCTGTTGCTTATAATGAACCATTTGGGTTCCATCCATGTTGTTGACGTGTCAAATGTTCTTTCCTTGTATCGTCACCAGGAAAGAACATCTCAGCTGTTTCTAGTTTTCAGCAATTAAGAACAAAGCTGCTGTAAGTGTTCACATGCAAGATTTTTCTGGATCATATAGTAGGTATATCTCTAACTTTAGAAGAAACTGTCAAACTGCTTTTGCAAAGTGTCTACTGTTTTGCATTCCCAGCAGCAGTGTGTGAAAATTCCAGCTGCTTCATGTTTTGCTGCCTTGGCAAAGACAAGGGTAATTTTTTACACATTTTAGCCATTCTGGTTAAGTGTATTGTGTTATCTCACTCTGGCTTTAATTCACAGGTCCCTTATGACTAACGATACTGAATCTCTTCTCATGTACTTATTTTCTATCCATGTATCTTCTTGGGTGAAGCTTCTGCTCAAATCTTTTGCCTTTATTGATTGTGTTGTTTTCTTATTGTTGAATTTTAAGAGTTCTTCATATATTTTGGATGTAAGTCATTGTCAGATAGGCAACTTGAAAATATTTTCCCCCAGTTCTGGGTTACATTTTCATTTTTTTTTAAAGATAAGGTTTCAATTTGTAGCCCAGGTTGGCCTCGAACTTGAAATCTTCCTGCATCAGTCTCCAGAGTGCTGAGCACCCCAGTACTTATAAGGGGTGCATCCCCACACCCAGCTCTATTTTTGTTCTCTTAGTAGTGACTTATGCAGTGTTTTAAATTTGGATGAAGCACAGTTTGTCAATTTTTTTTAAATGGGTCATGCTTTTGGTGTCATATCTTACAACTGTTTGCCTAACTCAAAAATTGTGCCTTATGAGTTTTCTGACTTGCTCAGAAATTCTCTACTTGCACACATTTTTTGACACCTAATATGTAAGTTTTCCACATCAAGTAATTCTTCAGCTCTCCAGACACAAACCAAGTATCCTATAATTCAGTTCTGATACCATCTGCCTGGATTAGCACCAGTCAGATCCCACAGGTTAAGGATTCAGTCACATAGGACTGCCCATGTTTACAGGCCAATTGTAAGTCTGGACTTCCTGTACTTTTGCTCTACTGGCTATAAATTAGGGGTCCTCAGTTCTATGACTTGCTAGAATGACTCATAAAGCTCAGAGAAAGGCTTTACTTATAGCTACCAGTTTATTATAAAAGTTATAACTCTGGGACGGCCAGATGGAAGAGCTGCTTACAGCAAGGTATGGGGCAGGGCAAGGAGCTTCCAAGCCTTCTCCAGGATCGCTACCCTCCCAGCACCTTAATATCTCAATAACAGAAACTCCTCCAATCTCCTCTGGCAAGACTCTTTATAAGAGCTTAACATCCAGCTTCCCTTAGGGCTGAAAGTTCCAATCTGTGATCGCTTGGTGACAGGTTCATCCTCAGGCTATTTGGTGACACTTACCCTAAGTCACCTCATTAGCAGAAAGTCAGGTATTACCAAAATGGGATTATAGTGTTGCAGGAATCTCAAGCTGAGATACAGGACACTGAGGCAGTTTGCAGGAAGCAACATTTTATTGTGCTAGCACAGACCCAGTGGACTCATGTCCAAAGGCTGAGCCATGAGAACAAAGAGTTCTCACCTTATATACCCTTGCAAGCAGGTTTACAGAAGCAAAAAGCAAAGCGCAACCCACATGTGGCTGCATGTGACTTCATTGGCTATTTAATTTCCCTAGTGCTATGTGACCTTCATGTTTGAATTCGTTAAGTTTTATCTGTCTGCTTTGCTATCCCTTCCCCTGTCTCAGAATACAGCCTGTATGTTTCTTTTCTGGCCGTCCTCCCTGCTACAATAGGGTATAATAACAGATACTATTATCACTCGGGAAATTCCCAGGGTTTTAGGAACTGTATGCCAGAAACCTGGGACAAAGACCAGACATATTTCTTATTATACTACATTTTTTTAAGTTTTACATTTAGATATCTGTGATCCATTTTTTTCTCTCCATATTTACTTATTTGGATATATTCGTTGTATAGGGAGCATTCATTGTGACAATTCTGAATAGGCTTACATTGTACATGGGTTAGCTCACCCCCCTCCCCCAACCCTCTCTCCACCCCACTTAGAGCAATTGCAAGAGGTTTCATTGTTCTATTTCATGTATGTATTTGAGGTCCATTAACTGTGTTCCCTCACCTTCATCTCTTTCATTCACCTTCCTCCTGACATACTGCACCCATTTTACAGTCCTGTCTTTCATTATTAATTGCTAAGTCAATGTTCAAAGAGGTTTCTAGATGTACCCCCCTGTGAGTATACTTTACTTTGATCAGTTATTCTTCCATTACTCTCCCTTACCCCTTCCCTTCCACCCCCCACTAGTCAACAGCGTTCAATACATATCGTTGGATCCTCTGCCTGCACAGATGTATGTATTTCCATATTGATGCTGTGTCATTCTCTTTTCCTTTCCCTCCTCCCCCAAGTTCCATAGGGTAGTTCCACTATTACAAACATGTTCTACATATAAGTTTGTATTTATAGATCTATGATTCATTTTTGAGTTAATTTTTTTAGACGGGATGAGGTATGGGTTGAGGTTCCATTTTTTGTATATGGATGTCCAGTTAATTGTTCCAGCATCATTTGTTGAAAATGGAATTTTTTCTCCATTGAATTTCCTTTGCACCTTTGTAAAAAGTCAGATTCACATTTCTCAGGGCTTGGGGATAGGAGGAAGGGGAAGTGGTATGACTGTAAACAGGGTGGCAATAAGGAAGTCTTCGTGGTGATGGGATAGTTCTGCATTTGAGTGTACTGGGGCTCCAGGAATGTACACATGTGAGAAAATGACACTGAGCTGTACACACACACATCAAACCAACATCAAAATCTTGGTTTTAATACTGTACTATAATTATGAAGGTGTAATCAGAGGGTCAGGGAAAATCGGGAAAAGGTACATGGGGTCTCCATGTACTATCTTTTCAACTTTCTGCAAATTTATAATTTCTTCAAAATAAAAATAAAAAAATTCAATTGACCATATTTGTGTGAGTCTACTTTAGGATTCTCTGCTCTGTTCCATTGATCTGTTTGTCTATCCTTTGCCACTGTTACACTCTTGCTTACTATAGTGATATAAACATAAGTCTTGAAATCAGGTAGTGTGAGTGATCCACCTTGTTCTTTCTCCAAGTTGTTTTACCTGTTCTGTGTCTTTTGCATTTCCATATCAGAATTAGCTTTTGAGTTGCTACCGAAAGTGCTGGAATTTTGACTGGGATTGCTATGAGGCTATAGGTCAGTACTTAGGGGTATTGAATCTGCTAATAACTTCTTTTTATTTTTAATTTTCACTTTTAGCTTTCATTTAAAATTCCTCTTGCTCCACTAAGATGAGAAGGCAGAGTCCTGGCAATGTGGGAAATCACACCACCCTTCCCTGTTTAGATAAGGGGAATTGAAAATATGTGATCTGGCAAGACAGGTTTCTGACACTCCAGGCTGTGGGGCAAAGTTACTTCTATTTAACATGGTGTTGTACATAAGTATATATTTTAAATTCCAAGGATTGCTTACCATAACAACTAATGTTCCCTGAAAGCAAAATACATTTTTAACTTGGTGATTTTTTGCTACCTGTTCTATAACTCCTAATTTTAGAAAGACTAAAAATATCATTTTGAAACTCTGAATAAGTGGTTTAAAATTTTTAGGAGGGAACGGCACAGATAAACTAAGTTTTTTCTGTCTCCTTCTGTCATGTATAAAAATAATTTTTAGCTGGGTGTGGTGTTACATGCCTATGATCCCAACACTCAGGAGGCTGTGATGGGAGGATTGAAAGTTAGAGGCCAATCTGGGCTACATAGTGAGACCCTGGCTCAAACAAAACAAAACACAATAATAATTTTTAAAATTCTCAAACTGTTTTCAGATTAAAATATAGGAAGATGTAGTCATCAGTTTCCACTAAATCCAAATCCTTTGCAGCAGGGCTCATATTACTTATGAGTTTTATTTTTCAGTGTCTGGCATTTATTAGCAGTTTAATAAATATTAAATGAATAAATAAAAATGTATAATTCTGTTTCACTTGTAGATTTTGGGCCCTAATTTGTATGTATTTTTCATTCCAAAGTGGATTGATCACTTGACTAATACTGTATAATCATAGGAAAAAGTCTACATTTTTATGTCTAACCAAAAATCAATTTTCACAATAATCAACATGGAGTGAAAAAAATACAAGGCCATTAGCTAAAGGCTTCAAGGAGTATGTGTTTCATACAGCAGAGAAGAGTCCTTGTGCCGGATAGAAGTGAGGAGAAGGTGTAATACAGTTTGTGAATTAGAGCCCAGGCCACACCCAGGTCAAGACTGCTGTGGAGAAAAGGAAATTTGGGGACATGTCAGCTTCCTTTACACATGAGTATTTGTTTATCAGCAGGATTGTTAGTTTATAAAAGCTCACTTCCTCTTACCTCCACAGCTCCTCCATGTAAGACAGGATTGGGGGCACACCAACATCTTCATCACATAGATGGATCTTTCCAACACCTCTGCTGTGGGTCCCTGTACTCCTAATTTCATTTTGATATTCTTTCACCAGGCCGCTGTTATGGAGCTTCTTAGTGCAGACTTTGAGACTTCAGCATGGCACTTGACTTTGATGGCTGAAGAGTATACCTTAGCTTGGGAATTTGGGACAAAATCCACTTAAAGTGAGACCTCAGTAGCCTGGAACTGAACTCCTTCATCCAAGTCACCATTTTGTCACAGGCTGAATGACACTTAGGTATTCCTTGTTCAAAAGGGAACAATGGAAAAAGACTTTAAAAAGTAGTTCTCTGCTGGATATAGCAACCATCTTAGGATATAAATCCCTGATAAGGAAAGGTGATATATTGTTAATAGTAGAATCTAAGTGAGCTGTTTCATGATCTGTGAGGAATATATTTAATTTTTTTTCTCTTACAGATTGTCATGTTAAACTCTGTTTCTGACCTTCATGGCTACATTGACAAAAGCCAGTTGACACAGGAATTAGGAGGAACTTTGGAATATCGCCACAGCCAGTGGATAAATCACCGAACCGTGAGTATCAGCTGATGTGCTTTTCAGAATCTCTCCTTGTTTCCTGGAAGGCAGAGGAGTTCAAGATCAACAGTGGGAGGTCACTGCCATTGACTGTCTGACCATGGGAAGGTTGAAATGAGCTTTCTTTTGATGACCACCTAATCTCCCTGCCTCTGGGGTGCACCCTGGGAGTTTTCAAAAATCCCAATAGCCTTCTATACCTCAGGGAAATGATTTTACCTGATCTGGGACATTAACATTTCAAAAAACTCCTCAGGCAACTCCAATGCACAGATAAATTGAAACCCAAGAAATCAGAAGAAGCTACATTTAAATATTGTCACCATTATTTACTGTCTGACCTCAGGTGAGTTACTGAGCCTCTCAAACTCATTTCTTCCCCTGTTAAAATGGGACTAACACAATGGTGCTCTTGCTGGGAGTAATTTTAACCCTCCCCCCACCCTAGGACATTTGCCAATGACTTTAGACAGTTTTTGTAATCAGAACTTGGTGGGTTGTGGTTTGGGGCATCTTGTGGATACTGACCTGGGACTCTGCTAAACATCTTACAATGCACAAAATAACTCCCAAAACAACAACAAAATTATCCAGCCCAAATGTAAACAATGCCAATGTCAAGAATTTCTAGATTAAGACTACCTTGATGTGAGAAGTAAGGGATACAAGGTTTGTGAAAGCCTTGGTATATAGTATTTTACTTTTTTTTATCCTACTTATTTGTTTTGGTAGTTGTTATTTGAAAGGAGAAGTTTCAGTACTAATGAGTAAAAAGTAAGAATCAAAACTCACTGTGATGGTCTGAATGTTGTTCTCCCCCCAATATCATATCTTGGAACCCAATGTGATAATATTAAAAAATGGGATTTGTTGGGAAATGGTTAAGTTAGGAAGGTTCTACCCTCAAGAGGTTGAAGGAAGCTGCTTTGTGCCTTCTGTCATGTGAGGAGGACACACAAAGGCCCATCCATCTATGAGGGAGGCCCCTCACCATCACCTTGATTTGGGACTTCCAGCCTCCAGAACTGTGGGATATATTATAAATTATTCAGTGTAAGGTATTTTTGTTGTAACAGTCCAAATGAACCAAGACACTCACCACATAATAAGTGTTTCTATGTAAAGTTTCATTCTCCCTTCTTCTCTCTCCTAGCCCCCACCCTTGAAAAGATCAGCTTTTCTAAGTAAAACAGGAGTCTCCCTTCTCCTCTGTCATGATAACTTGTATTTCCACCACTTCTCTGTGTCTGGTCAGCTTGGAAACATGTCACCCACCATTTACTAATGAACACTGAACACTGTTAATTAGGTATGAGAATTTACCCTGTTTTAGATAGTGATGTTTTAAAAAAAAAGAAATTTAAGAAACAAAAGTAAATTTCTAGCAACACAGTACATTTATTTCAAAGCTACATATTATAATTCCTCCTTCATTTCTTTGTGTGTCATTGAATTCCAAGGAAGGCATGTTTCCCGAGACGTAGAGGGAGGCCCATGACCTAGGCAGAAACTTCTCATCCATGTGTCCGCAATAATGACTCCTAGAACATCTCATGAGAAAGAAGGGAGTGGTTAAGTTCTTCATGAGCATGCGATTCTTAGTAGATGTACCTGTGAGAGATGTGCAGGCAAGCTCAGTAGAGTGTCATGAATGAGTGTGATGAGGCTCTTTCCAGTGTCATTAGACAATTTAAAATGTGGACCTGGAGTGCTTCTAAGCTTTATTTCTTCATTTCTTAGATATTTATTGTGTGACTTAAATAATCAGAAGCAATGCTGCCCCACCGCCTTGCTGGGCTTCCTAACTGTTTGCAGTGAGTTCTCTAGCAGTCATTGGTTTTATTATAAAGTTCATGCTTTTCAAGTTGCCACAAATCTTTTTTGAAACAAGACAGATTGGCAGTGAAAACATTTGAAAGATGTACCTTGACTTCAAAGACAAAAGTAGTTGTTTAAGAACTTAAAGTGTTCAAGAAAGCTGAGCTCATGAAAACTGCTTATTTAGAGATGGCATGAGCAGATGTTGGCACACTTCCCGCCTTGCTAGACCCGGTTTGTAGCTACGGCTTGACTTTGTGCAGGTGTTGAACACATGACAGTAAACTTTAAAAGCAGAACTAGTACTGAAAGCCCAGGGATATTCTGTACGTGCATTTTACGTGTTGTATAGACTGTACATCCATATAGTTAGCAATAATTAGAGTGTAATAGAAACACACGTCATTTCATTGTTTTATATCTTTGTTTTTGTTAATGGTACTAAGGCTTAAACTCGGCCTCATACTTGCTAGGCAGGCACTCTGCTGTTTGGGCCACACCTCCTGTTGTTTTATATCTTATGATTGAAACATATAGCTGTGTGTGTGTGTGTGTGTGTGCGTGCGTGTGCGTGTGAGAGAGAAAGAGAAAGCAAGAAAGAGAGAGCAAGAGAGAGAGATTGTGCTTTCTGGTTTGTCACATTTTTGAGAGACTTCCTCAGAAGTTAGAACTCAGAACTTTAAAGATTATTTTCTTCAGTCACCTTATTTTATAGCCAAGGAAACTGACCTTCAGATAAAGAGGTGATTTGTCTAAGGTCAGATGGTGAAGTACTGTCAGAGCCATGAATAACGCCAAGCTTTTTTACTTCTCCTACCCATCAGGATCAGGTCCTCTGGGCCATTTCCCAGGTGAATTTTCCTGAAAAACATGGAATCGAGTTGACTTGCAGAGGGTGACCGCAGAGGAGTACTATGGCTTTCCTGGGTCCCCAGGATGACATCTGTAGGTCTAGCACTTGACACTCTGGGTTATTATTATTTCACATGTGTGAGATATTCTACTGTTCCCATGATCCTATGACATTTGCTTTTTTTTTTTTTTATTCTTAAGAACAGAACAAAACCCTGCTGGGTTGGGGGGTGTAGGTCATTGATAGGGCGCTTGCTTAGCCTGCGTGAGGACTTGGGTTCAATTGCCAGCACCACGGGGGGAAAAAAAAGGTAACAAAAAATTTCAAAACCCCATGCGGAATAGAAAGCGTTATCCCTACTTTTCAAATGAGGACTCTGGGACTCCACAGCATGACCTGGCTTTTCCAAGATCACACAGTAAGGAAGGATCAGAATCTGGACTCTAATTAGCATCTTCAATTCTAAGGCCAACGTCTGCAGGGACCTAGTTTTAAATATCATTTTGCTAACTGTAATTTTGACTGTGAGCAGGAATGACATGTAGTGCTTACGAGCACAGCCCACTAGCCAGATTACCTGGCTTCAACCCCACATCTGCCACTTATTTTTTTGTATGACTTCAGGAAAGTTATGTAGCCTCAATATGCCTCAGTTTCCTCATCTATGGAATGTGAAATGACAATAATAATACTTAACTAAGACGCATTAGAAGACAGAGTGCCCATAAAGCAAATCCATCATAACCTTGTATTGTCTTAATAGTTCCCTGGTAAGTGGGTTTTTCTATGTTATTCATCACAAGCCATTAGTGAATACAGTTGAAAGAGTGTCTTACGCATATGCTAGATTACATCAACATAACAAAACTTTGATGTACTTAATAGAAAGATTTTCATAAGTGTTTGGCTTTCCAGGCCACAAGCACTATGACGGTCAAGGTTGAGGCTATACAAATGCTTGTGCTAACAGGGAGATTCCACGAAGTCCAATACTTTAACTATGACAATGGCTGAAGTAGAAGGGACTTTGAGCTCAGACATAGAGATGGGCGGTGTTCTGGAAACCTCATGATGCCAGCCACAGCCCCAGACAAGGACCCTGTCAAATCTGGGGCATTCCTTGTGACGTGGGCTTGGGTTTTTAGAAGTATGATAATGGAACAGAGGTCATTTTTTCCCGAGGAAAATTAGTAGAGTCTCTTTGCTTTTTCCACTCTTCCATTCATCGCTATTTTGTGGACCTCCTGCAGTGTGCCAGGCTCAGTACCATGCCCTGAGGGTGTGGGGATGAATGTGACATAGCGCTTACCCTTCGTGGGCAAAATCATCATAGGAAAGAAAGAGGTGCTGTGGCAGTGCCCTTCTGGCTGAGTGGAATGATTTGCGGGACTCAAGGGTCCCTTTTATGGGCAATGTCCCTATTTCCAAGGCAGGCCACTGAGCACTCTGCTCACATGCAGGTATCTCATTTGGGAGATGAGCTATGAGGCCCTTATCCTGTCAGCAGGTATTTATTCAATAGCAGAGGAAGGTCCTGAGTGGATAGGACACAAACCAGGCACATTTTATGAAAGAGATATGATAGAAAGAGGTCCCAATCCTTCCCCACATCTGATAGAAGCGACCTCTGAAAGGTCACAGGTGACATCACCACATTCATCTTTTCACTGGTTGTCACATCCTCTCAACAGCTTTGACGAACCTCTCAGAGGCCTCAAACAGTGGGGCGTGCATGCAAGGGGAGGAGGAGGACAGAGGGCAGTGCTGGGGCTAGTAGAGAAGGTAGCATTTATTAGAAAGAAGGTTCTGCCCTTTGCAGCACTGCACCTGCTATAAACATGGATTCCAACTTTCAGGTGTTCTTGGGGATAGGGAGCCCCAGCTTTGAAATATCTGACCTTGGTTAAATCCTTCCTTCCCTTCTGTCCAAATAATGATTTGAGGTAACTAACATAACCCCTTGGGAGCTTCAGTTCCCTCCTCTATAGAAAGTAAATAAAATACCTCCCACTCTATGTAAATCAAGATGACTCATAAATCTATAGAGTCAGGGACAATGTGTGGCACATCCCAGGCACTCAGAAGTAGCTAGTCCATGCTCTTTCATGGAGAGAGCAAAATGTGGATGCTAATCTCTGCACATTGTTATGATTGTCTGACTTTCCAGGCCATAGAAAACTTTGCCTTGACATTGAAGATGACTGCTCAGATGTTACAGACATTTGGGGCCTCCCTGGCTACAACAGAGCTTCCCAGAGGCATGCTGTCCACGGAAGACCTTCTCATGTCCCACACAAGGCAGCAGGACAAGCTGCAGGTGAGAGAGCTGGGAACAGAATGAAAAATGAAGCCCTCCTCTTCTTCTGTCTCTGATCACTTGGTGTCCACTGGCCACCTTAGAACTTCTGGATAGGCAGTAGGTGAAGAGGAAAACCTCTGGAGTCCCGTGAATGTGAGAGCTGGGGAAGCAGCTCAGAGAAGGCTAACTCCTTCCAGTTTGTGTTGGTGGGATGATGTGTGTGAGCACAGGTCCAAGGCAGCACTTGTGTGACTGCTTAAGACAGAGCAAGACCACACTAAATTTGCAGGGGAGAGGGGAGGAGGGTATGGACTCAAAGTGTGAACTCTCTGATAGTTGTTATGAAGTTTTGGAGCAGACTAATAAAATGACTAAGTTTCTCACAGATGTGTCTTTTTATCTGGGGCTAGTTAGATAAGAAAAAAGGACTATGGGAGGTGCTCTGAGCTGGGTTTAAGGAGAGGCACATATTAAATGATTCATGTCAGTATTTGCTGAGAAAGAAACAGGGCAGGTTTGTCAACCATGCAGTAAGAGAAGTCTTCCTGGGACTTCTCTCCATGGGTGCCAACTCCTTTCTGTCTTGAGAAGCCCAAACAGACTGATTCTTTATTTCCCAGAAGGCCCATTTTCACTGGGGCAGCAAAGTGAGGGTTGATGGTTTGTGTATCTTAGCCTTGTCTATGGTCTTGGAGCATCACCAGTTGGGAAGAGCTGGTCTCTTAACTGGTGACCCCAAATTTGCAAGAATGTTTTGCTAGAAGGTTGATTTGTTCCTTTATTCAACATTTATTGAGTACCCGCCATAGTGTGCCAGGAAAAACAAAAAAAAATGCAGCCTCGAGAAACAGAGAGTTGAGTTAAGGGAGTCTCAGAGTCTAGTGGTTGAGGCAAATTAATTCTTCCAGGTGCCAGAAAGCAGTGCTAAATTCTGTCTTAAAGGAGGTTGTCATCCAAAAAGAATTTAAAATGTATTCCCAGGATTATCTGAGTAATCAAAATATCTGCACTGAAACTGTGAAATCCTACAGCATCCTGGAAATTTTCCCAGGAAATGCCTCTGAGAAGCTTGGAGGTCTTCTGTTCCAAATATGTTGGCCAAGCTCACCTCCCCCTGATTCCTGGGAGGCCCAGGCTGCAGAAAGGCAGGTTTGGGGTGACTCCGTGAAGTCTGCAGGAAAGGGTTTGCAGTTGTACAGAGTCAAGACCTGCAGGAGTTTGCAGAGCAGGTGGTCAATAGGAGAGAGGGTGGTGAGAGGGATGCAGAGAGTGGCTGACAGGCACAAGTGTGCAGGAGCTCCCTGCAGGGGGCTGGTGAGCACAGTGCCTCTGCCTTATTCCAAGGAGAGGCAGCAGAGCAGAGCACAGAGATGATGACACAGGTCAGGCGAGAAGGTCTCTGGAGACCATCAAGCAAAGCAGTTTTGCAAATTTGGGATCAGATACAAGAGTCTGGCTCTTCCCAAGTTCAGTGTAGCAAGGACATATGCAATGCTCTGGGGAAAATGGTTTTAAAAACGTGGGTTTTAGAGGTTGGCTACGGCTCAGCAGTAGATGGGGTCACCCCAGCATCACACACACAATTTGTATTTTAGACAAGGACACGTATCTGGGATGTGAAAAACAGCCAGGTAGGTCCTGCTTTCTGTGCAGGGGGTGCCCCAGCAAAGGCAGATGAGTGGGTGCTGTCCTTTCTACATGGGCAGGGCTCTCCAGAAGTACAGGGGCAGGAATACCCATCTCTAAGATGAAGTAAGGGCATTTCCTGGGTAGGGTAACCAGCTGTTCTCAGAATTAAAAAACTCTAGGGAAAGGAGGCTAAAATTTCACACCAATTATGTAGCGGGAGAACTTGAAGATACATATAATGTGAAATATTCTTTGGCAATTATAAGAAATATTTTATGCTCTAATTGTCATATCTCAGTTTAGTTAAATACCCTTATCTACTTCGTAAGACAAGGGAAGGGAATTTAGAATGTTCCATTTAATTAGCTTTTTAGAAAGAAAATAAATGCAGTTGTGCATGAACTAAATGTTATGCTTGTGTTTATAGTCCGTATTGCTCTAAAATCATGGTGAAGACCTATAACTATTTAAGAATAAAATTCTCAAGACAAATTAATTTGTTTAAGTATTTGCTTTGGTTAAGAATATTAAGTGAGCTAGGCACTGGCGGCTTATGTCTGTAATCCTAGCTCCTTGGGAAGCTGAGATGAGGAAGATCATGGTTTAAGGTCAGCCCAGTAGTGCTCCATCTCCAAATAACCAGAGCAAAAGGGACTGGAGATGTGGCTCAAGTGGTAGAGTGTCTGCTTTGCAAGCATGAAGCCCTGATTTCAAACCTCAATCTCACCAAGACAAAAAAAGAAAGACTATTAGGTGAATTGGGATTTAAAAAATTATTCTGTCTTTATTTTACCAAGTAATAATAATATTCTTTGAATACAAGGCAGAGAGAGGGTTCTTAAGGTCGTTTTGTGATTACTAATTTTTGGCCTACTACATATTTGATTTATTCCTTATCTTGTAACTTAGTAGCAAGAATATCAAAATGATTAATTTTCTTTTTCCTCTTTTATTAGTAACTTAGTAGTTATATGGTAATTTATACATATTTTACTTTACTCATTAGTGTTTTACCTGCCCCCGCCCCACACCCATGCTGGAGCATCATGCATGGTAGGCGAGTGCTTTTTCATGAGCTCTAGCTGGTGAACCAAAGATTCTATGAGCAACTGAGCCATTTATTTTTCATTTAGAAAGTTTCTTTTCCAAGTGAAAAACCAGTATAGTATAAGATTTATTCCTTGGAATAGGGAACCTTTTAGTCTGTTTACATATCTATAAAAGTTAACAGTGTGTGATTTACTGTCTTCCCAGCCTGGAGAGTCTCTGGTTAAACAGCACAGCACTGGCAGATGTGGCGTGAGTGCTTGATTTTTTTATCTCCTGGAAATCATTGAGATCCCTTATCTTAGGTTCATGTAACCAGCTACCAATCACCTCTACAGTCAAAGTAGGAAAGCCACTGAATTAAAGCATTTTTACATCCTCATTTGCTAATTTTCTGTGGATTTTTTCCTGTTTTGTTCAATGCTACCTTCCAATAGACTCACTTTTCTTTTGGTCACCCTGGTATATCGAAGCATCTGTTTATATAGAAAAAAAATCTCAGAATGATCATATCAAACTTTTAAACTTGAAAGAAATCTCTTTTCTAGAAACATAAATTCCTTCCCCTCAGGCTGAGCCACACTTTGACTCTTAATCCATTCTTAAAATCAAACAGTGCTCCAGTTCCAGACATGGTATGGGCTGTTTTCTGTCCAACTAGATGTAGCTTTGTGTTAAGATTTGAAATCTTGTTTTCCCTATCTCGTCTGAGGCACAGGAAGGAAGAGAGAGCCCTGTGCATACAACCTGGGAAAGGTTACAGTTCTGCTGAATGAGACAGGCACCAGCTCAGCATGCCCACCCGTCCAGCTGTGTCTGCCACACTTAATGGAGAGTTAGAGTCTGGACTCAGCAAATGCGCACAACGCCCCACAGTTGACCATAGGGGGGCTGCTGTGTCCTAAGGAGAGAGGTAACTTTGACAGGTGTGGTCTCTCCCTCTCACCCTGCAAGCAGTACCTGTCCTGTCACCACCCGGGGCTTGGCTGCACAAAGAAAGGAAACTCAAGGAAGGGATCATGAATTTATGCACATGTTCTGGAAAACAGTGTCCTGAGTTCCTCCTCCATCCAGCCTGAGTACTGGCAGTAAAGAATAAATAAATGCTCCAAACTATGAAGGATATTTTCTTTTCATGGAAGCTGTTTTTGGGGCTGGGTAACTTATATGTACTCTTTTAAAGCACTTCAGTTCCTCCATCTTTCCTTTTATTGTAGATTTGTGTAACCCTACTAAGGCTGACTAGGCGGTTCAATCCCAAAGTCGTTTCCAGGTGACGATTTTTGCTTGTATATTTTTTAGCAGTGTGAAGGGGTCCGCAGTGTATGATATCACTTGGCCTCACACACTTCCCTCATGCTCTGCTGCTCTCTGAGTGTATCCTTACCCCCCACTGTCTCCTCATCGTCCCCTTCTGTCCTAGCTGTATGCCTCTTCTCCTTTAGCCTCTCCACCTTGCTTCCCATCTCTGAGTAGGAAAAGCCAAGACCCTCTTTATTGGGTAGGAAGAGGGAAAGGCTAAGAACACTGACTCATGAGTACTTTTTTCTTCATCGTATCGGATTTGTCTTTATTTCTCTGCAACCTGATTTCTTTCAGACTATTATTAATTTACCTATCCTACTAATATTTAATGAGCATTATTGAGATAAGAAGAAATGAGGTTGACACTTGACACTTGGTAGTGGAAAAGAAGAGAAATGTCCAATTCCAAGACCAGAGAGCCAATCTTTCCTGTCAGGTGGCTGACTTGGAAGGTTGGGGTGTAGCTCAGTGATAGAACACTTGCCTAGCATACACAAGGTCCTGGGCTCAATCTCCATATCAGAAAAAAAAAGTGACTGACATGGGGCATTGCCTGGAGTGAACAGAGCCAGGAACTTCCAAAGAACTCTGAAGGGCTATCTCAGAGAAGTGAAGTCTCTCATCAACCAGATCCAGGGACAAGTTTAAGACTGATAGAGACAACATAACCCTCTGGGGAAAATACTGGATTGGAGTGGGAGATAAGGAAGAAAGGTGTGAGGCTGAGAGGGCCCAGGACTTCTGTATGAACTGAGTAGAGACGTACAGAACTCCTCCCTGAGGGAATGAACTGTAGGACGGCTGAAAGGATAGTGGGACCTAAAAGAAGAGGCATTTGTGTGCACAGAGGGGAACATTTGTTTGATTCTTAGAACTGTCGGCTTGTTGTAACTCTCCAGTCCACACCAAGCCAGCCAGCATCTGTGACCCAGGAAACAACCCAGAATTCCCAAGAGCAAAATTCTGTGCTAGCCTCTGCTCCCTTTGTCATTGCTCAGGGCAATGAGCCATGACTTGCACTGTCTAAGGAGAGGCCTCGAGCTGTTGGATTTGGGAGCAAATAGCCTTCCCCAGTTGCAAAGCCCTGATGATGAAAGAGCAGAGTGGAATTGCCTTGGGAGGACAAATCTTTCTACATCTGACTGGAATTGCTGCCCATTTCTGCCAAACTTCAATGACTGAACAATACCACAGATGGAGAGACAGGTGTTTATTCATGTGCCCACATGTGGTATTTTCATGGTCAACTAGCAATTATTATGTTATTATTGCTTGCCAATTTCTAACACTTAATATTCAATATCTGTAATGTTCTTGTTTCCGGTTATTGTCTTGGATTTTATTAATTACTTTTCTTTTTGATTTATAACAGCTTGAGATATACAAAAAAATGTAAACAAATGTTGCTTTTGAAGAGGGAAAGTAGACAGGTTGGAGACAAAGGACTTATATTTTCCAGTATATATCTTTTGGTTTATTTGGATTTTTTAAATTATGACTAAGAATAAGTTTTTAAAGCAGCATCTTTACTTCTTTGGTATTTAATTTCCTACACAAAAAGCATGCCAATCTACCATTCTCTTCATCCACCAAATACCAAAAATTTTTTTTTATTAATTCCTTCTAAGAGAGTCCATATTTTTCTTTTTCTAGGATGAGCTGAAATTACTTGGAAAGCAAGGGGCCACATTACTGTCATGTGTCCAGGAACCAGTGTCCAAATATCCCACCAGCAAGCTCAGCCTCAATGAACTTGAAAATGTAGCTACCATGGAAAGGTGAGTGAGTAGTATGGGACTTGCTTTTTGAGGAGAGAACAAGTATATCTAGGTGATCTAAAACAACCCAAACCAGATTGAAACAGCTACTGTTTGGTCTTAGTGGGTCTGAAAAAAGAATAATATTTGAGACAACAAGGGAAAAAGATTATGTCCATCTGGTATTAACCTACAGAGACCTTTTTACAAGAGTTCATTCCCTCCTTTGTGATATGCTCCCATTCAAGGATTTCAAAGGAGATGGCAGTATGTATTGATCTATATTTCCAAATAACACTTTGCCTTGGTTCTACACTTTACACATTGGTAGCTTCAGGTGGGGAAAAAAGAGGCAAAAAGGTAAAGTCACCTGGAACACATTTTAAAGCACAGTGGGTGCATCTGATTTGAAGTTTCTGCCTGCACTGTGGGGATCCTGTTTGGAAAGTGGAATGCAAGGTGACCCACTGAAACACAAGAAGACATGGGTGGCATAGCCTTTAATAATGATGGGGATATTAGTAGCACTGACTGAAAGCAGGCAGTATGCACATAACAGACCTGTGTGGACACCTGTAGAAGAGAATGCTAACATAAAGTTGCTTTTTCATTTTTTTCTTGAAAGGTTATTGGCTCAAGTGAATGAAACAGAGAAAGCCTTTGGTCAGTTTTGGTTTGAGCATCACCTGAAGCTTACCCAGTGCCTACAACTACAGCACTTTGAACACAATTTTTGTAAGGTATTGTTTTCTTTTTCATATAATATCCTTTTTTGGTATAGGCTTCTGTTTTTCTCTTCTCCTCAATGCTTTGAGAGTGGGATTTCCTCTTTTCCTAATCCAGCTCTCTCTTTATAACCTTGCTTCTTCACAGATCCCCTCACCCCAGCTTTTTCAGTGGTGTAGCAATGTTCTAGAATCTGTTTCCCTTTGATAGTCATGACATTTCAGTGATGCCTTGCCTTCCCTTTTTTATTGATAATCTGTTTAATGTAGTTCTCATATTTTGTCTGTAAGTGCCTTTGAACCCTCCAATTCATTTATTTTTATTTTTTTATTATTCATATGTACATACAAGGCTTGGGTCATTTCTCCCCCCTGCCCCCACCCCCTCCCTTACCACCCTCTCCACCCCCTCCCTCTCCCCTCCACCCCCTCGATACCCGGCAGAAACTATTTTGCCCTTATCTCTAATTTTGTTGAAGAGAGAGTATAAGCAATAATAGGAAGGAACAAGGGGTTTTGCTGGTTGAGATAAGGATAGCTATACAGGGAGTTGACTCGCATTGATTTCCTGTGCATGTGTGTTACCTTCTAGGTTAATTCTTCTTCATCTAACCTTTTCTCTAGTTCCTGGTCCCCTTCTCCTATTGGCCTCAGTTGCTTTTAAGGTATCTGCTTTAGTTTCTCTGTGTTGAGGGCAATAAATGCTTTTGGGCCAGGCTAACCTCACTCAGAATGATGTTCTCCAGTTCCATCCATTTACCAGTGAATGATAACATTTTGTTCTTCTTCATGGCTGCATAAAATTCCATTGTGTATAGATACCACATTTTCTAGTGGGGCATCTTGGCTGTTTCCATAACTTGGCTATTGTGAATAGTGCTGCAATAAACATGGGTGTATAGGTGCCTCTGGAGTAACCTGTGTCACAGTCTTTTGGGTATATCCCCAAGAGTGGTATTGCTGGATCAAATGGTAGATCGATGTCTAGCTTTTTAAGTAGCCTCCAGATTTTTTTCCAGAGTGGTTGTACTAGTTTATATTCCCACCTGAACCCTCCAATTTAATTAGAAAGGTAATGAGCTGAAGAAAGGAAGGAAGGAAGGAAGGAAGGAAGGGAGGGAGGGAGGGAGGGAGGAAGGAGAGGGAGGGAGGAAGGGAAGCAGGAAGGAAGAAGCAGGAGGGAGGAAGGAGAGGGAGGGAGGAGAGGAGGGAGGAGAGGGAGGGAGGGAGGAAGGAGAGGGAGGGGAAGGAGGAAGAAGGGAGGGAGGAAGAAGAGGGAGGGAGGAAGGGGAGGGAGGGGAAGGAGGAAGAAGGGAGGGAGGAAGAAGAGGGAGGAGGAGAGGGAGGAGGAGAGGGAGGGAGGAGAGGGAGGGAGGGAGGGAAAGGAGGGAGAGAAGGAGGGAGGAAAGAAGGAAGAAAAAGCATATATAGATACACTCAATCCTGATCCTTTTTGGATTGTCAAGTTTGCTTAAAGCATAAACCTATAACTCCAGTGGTGCTTGTTGTTTACTTCCGCTCTACTGTGTCTCATAGGTGAGGCTTGCCCTGGAGAACTTACTAGAAGAGCAAGCAGAGTTCACAGGCATCGGAGAGAGTGTGATACATGTGGAGCAACTTATTAAGGAACATAAAAAGCTGGAGGAAAAAGGCCAGGTTTGTTTTTTATGTTTTTGTTTCATACTATTAGAGCAGTCACTGTGGATAATGACAGATCATGGCTAATCAGTGCTGTTGGAGGTTTGCTAAAGGACACAGGAATGCCCAAATCCTGTCCTTTAATCACCCCATCCCCACCCCCGGTCCCCAAGGAGATATGCATGCTAACAACTGTAAGAAATTATACTGGCCGTCCAGAGTTCTCAAAGTGGTGAGGACTCTGGGCCAGCTCTGCCTCTCACGGAGTCAGCAACCAAGTGGGAGAAACCTCAATGTGTGAATTTTTCATCAAATCATTTAGCATCAGTCAGCTTAGAGTTTCTCTCTGTAGCCTAGATATATGGGAGGGGGTTGATGGTAAGAAGGGGAAACTTTGAAAGAGGAAGCCAAGAAAAACCCAACAGTAACAAAAACAAGGCCCTAGAAGAGGGAAATTAGTCTACATTAGTTCTGTTGCTACACAAAATCAACAAAAGCTTTCTCCTTTTTCATGCCACAGGGGTTATAAATATCAGACTTGTTAGCAATATGAATTTTACAATTCTTATACCAGAATTAAGCAGGTTCTCCAATCGGTACTCTACTCAGCATACAGAAGTGATTCTATTTTAAGTTCTTACAGATTTAGTTTATTATGAATTAAGAGATGACTCATCTCTTTCCAGAGAAGTGCCTTTCTGCTTTTCCATAATTAGATTCTTTATACTTTTGTCTCTTGGGCACCGAGTCCCCTGTGATTAGCACTTCCTTTCTGAGCTAATCTAGAGGCGACTTCCCAGATGATAATTTTGTAGTATTAGAGATTTGCTTCTCAAAGTGTGAGCCTCTGGCCAGTAGCATAGGAATCACCTGAGCAAAAGATTGTTAAAAGTACAGAATCTCAGGCCCTTCCTTGGAATCGGAATCCATATTTAAATAAAATCTCTGGGTGACTGACATGCACACTACAGTTAGAGACAGATGCCCCTGAAGGATACAAAACCCAGGTCACGTTGAGCTGGAGGTACTCCTGCACATGCATGAACACCTGTGCACTCAGATCCTCTCTCAGGAATCCATCCTTTTCTAGTGAGCATTCTTCCAGTTAGCAGTGATGCTCTGACAGCTAAGCACTGGGGTGCTACAGGCTGTGAGTCTTTAGAAACACTGACCAAACAATGGGAAAATCAAATTTCACAAAAATGATGACTCCATTACAGATGCTCCAGGACAGCCCCAATTTTATGTGGTTTTAGTTTTTTTTCAAGAGAACTCCTTATTAAATATAGATACCATGTATTTTTGCTTATATAAATTCATATAATAAGGAAAAATACCTCATCAACAAAAATGCCTTCATATATAAATGAAGGTGGCTCCTTCATTTAAAAGCAATCAAATAAATAAAAACATCAGATAGTGATGTGAAGAAAAAACAGGACATAATAGCTTGGGGGTGCTACTTTGGCTGGGGTGGTCTGTCAAGGCCTTTGAAATGGTGACCTCTGTTCTGAGGCCTCTTTAGTCATGAAAAGCTTTGGGAGAATACCATTGAGGCAGAGATAGTTGCAAGTGCAAAGGTGTTATAGTGGGAACAGGGTTAGTGGGTTCAAGAAACGTTCTTGGAGCACAGTAAACCAGGAGGAAATGAGGTGGGAGAGATGGACAGGGGCCAGGTGCTCATGTTGGAGCCTGAGATTTTATTTTCAGTGAAACAGGAAACCACTGAAGAATGCCCTGCATTGTGTTTTTAAATAGTGGTGGTGGATCTGCATGACTATCTTGCCTTCCTCTCTTTTGCCTACTGCCTCAGGCTCATGGTTCTTGGAACATACTTTAAAGTTTGCAGAACAGAGGAAAGGCTGAGACCTGTGGTCATGGAAATAGAGATGCTTTGAGAATCCATGGCTCCATCTTTCATGGGCAAAATTCTTAGGTCGATGGACTAACACACTGCATACGAGCTGTGGAGCCCAGGAAGGTTGATCTTACCCATCCTGCATCTTGCTTAGCTATTTTTAAACCCACTTGCTAAAGGATGCAGTACACCTATTTCTCTGCCTTTGGGTAAACCAAACAAAGCTATCTCATCCTACCCAGGGTCTTTCTGGGCGTGACTTCTCTCAGATCTCTAAGAGGGTATTGTTTCTTCAGATAGTTAAAGCTTGGCTGGTCTCCCTCTTTTTTTCCTGTTAAGTGTTAAAGGAACAAGGCCACAATCCACCAGACTGGAGCTCATCCTTTTCTCAGCACTCAAGGTCAACTTTCCTCCCACACTAGTTCCGGATTGGTACCAGCTTCCTCTTGCTGCACAGTGACATAATCCTCACAGACAACCTCTGAGCCACACACTAACCAGACTCCTGTCACATACAAATTGAGCCTGCTCTTTATCTGATCTAGTTTGAGGGCTAGCAATCCTTGAATTCTTCTTGATTCTGAAAAACAGTGGTTTCAACCACTGTCCTCTGTAAAAGGGGAAGTTTCTGTGGGCTTCTGGCTGTGAGGCATGCTAAGACATTTGTTAATGGGCCAGCGGAAAATATACTGAGGCAGGGTAAGGGAACCAACCCAAATCAGCCTTGACTTCTTCCCCCAAGGCTGATCTCTCCCCTCAAAGCTACTATGTCAAACAAGGCACAGAAGCCAGGTCACCAGCATCCTAAGGATGTCATCTAGCAGGAGGGCCATGGCTTTTTTGTCTCTGTGAATTTTCAGAAACACGGGGGAGCAGATAAATAGTACAATGAACTTACATGTGTTTATCACTCTCATTCCACTATTCATTTCTGACTTTCTTGTTTCATCTGGCCCATCTCCCATATAGACATTCCATTCTGGTGCCACTGTCTGTGGGATTCCCTGATGGGGCTGCATCATCCGCTTTCTCACCATTTTTTCCCATGGTGAACACTGTCAGCTTTCATCTGTCTTCACAGCAGAGTCCTCAGGGGAAAATCAGCTGTCATTACAATAAATATGTCTGATTTACATGTTACAGCTTGGCTATCTAGTCTCCTGGAATTTTCAGCATCTGAAAAATGTTAGATAGGCTGTGGGCAGAGAACCAGATTTTAGCCCTTTTTTAAAATCATTTTTTAATCATTTTTGTCATTTCTTTTTTGCTTTGGAGTTTTGGTTGACTATCTTGAATAGGAGCTATATAAACTAAAACCCCTTAATTTGGAAGGTTTGTAGTAAGTTGCTTGCAGGCACCAGAAGGATTTCAGTCTTGTCTGTGCAGCCGTCTGCACAGCACACATGGACAGCTCAGGCAGCCTGGGAGGTGACAAGAACACCGGTTTGAGAGTCCTCAGATTAGACTCATATCTTGGCTCTAACAACTACAGCAGGATGGTCCTAACCAAGTGTCAGCCTTTCTAAACACAGTACCCTCATCTATGAAACAGGTCATAATTTGTGTCTCATAGAGTCCCTGTGGAGACTATGTGGGTTAGATGCACAGTAAGGACTCATGAATCCTAACCATAAGTTGGGGTTATTATTACTATTTTCCATTCATGTGCACTGTAGTGATTTTTCACCCAGATCTGAAATTATCTCTGTGGCTATTTCCCCCAGCAACATTTAGACCTGTTCCATCTCTTGTCTAACATCTCAGATATTTTAAGAACAGTTCTGAAGGTTGAGATACCACATGTCAAGTGACCAGCAGGCTATGATTGCTGCAGGGCCCTTTGGAAGTATTCTTGGTGAATTTCCCTGGAACCAGAAAACTCTGAGCTAATCTTAAAAAATTAGGGAACTGGACTTTCAACAAAATAAGTCAACAGAGACTTCCTTTTTGAGTTTCAATGTTTCTATTTTTAACTAAATTCAGACAAGTCTAAGCTGGACAGAATAAGGGCAGCCATTTTTCTTTGTTGCTTAGAGCCAGATTTGCAGCCTGAATTGGAAGCCTGACTCTTCTTTTTCCTACCTGGTCACCTGGGGCTATTGCACCTCCACTACTTTTTGTAAAACAGTACCTATTTCATAGGGGCTATTGGGGGAGTAAAAGATAATAATCAGAATAAAGCATTCAGAACAGTGCCTGACATACAGCAATCTCCCAGTAAATTTCAGCTGTTGTTATTAGTATCACAGAGATAGTGGGGCCTTAAATTCTGCTAGAGAACATTTCCTGGGTCAGAGCAGTAATAGCAAGAGTCTCTCATTCACTCTTCAATCATTCTGCAAATATTTATTGATCTACCAAGCCAAGCACTGTTCTAAGGTCTGAATAATAAAAATGACAATCAAAATTCACTGCCCAAGGAATTAGCATTCGAATCTCTCTCCAGGACGGTGACCCGTGCATCCAGACCTTTGCTGCTCAGAACAAGAGCACTGAGTGTTTTATCTCTGAGTTCTTTTAAGTAGCCACTGCTTGATTTGTGTTTCTTTATTGCTGTATCATTACTCCTTTTTGTTTTGCACAGCAGTCATTTATTCTTAAGTACCTAATATGTGCCTCATCCTATTTTAAGTTGCATAAGAGCTGGTCCTTGTCCAAGGGTGTGTGGCACAGTGCAGACATGGATAAGTGATCACGGTAAAGTGAAATGTGTGCTCTGAACAAGAGAAAAACAGAGTGTTATGAGAACTTTTTCTGAGAAAGTTACTGGAGGGCAGTTTAGACAGAGATAGTACAGAGAGCATAGGAGCAGTGGGGTCAGGAGAGTGGGAAGAAGGAAGCATGAAGCTTTCTAGAAAGAGAGAGCAGGTGGAGAAAGGAGTCTGGAGCTGCCTGAATATTGGGAGAGTGGCAAATGGCCATAAGTACAGCTGTAGCAGAGATTGGACTAGAGGGAGGTAGAGGAAGAGGAGTTGGTGAGAGGCCTGCTGAGCTTATAGCTAGGTAATAAAGTGCCCTGTGAGCGTTGCTCTGGAGTTTGAACTTGCTCTTGAAGACCTTGGGAGGCCAGAAAAGGACTTGAAGTTCGGGAGGGATGTAGACATGGTAATGTGTTGGTATTGCTGCTCTGTCATCAGTCTGGGGCATGGTTTGGAGCAGAGTTCCCTAGAGAAATGGAACTAGTAGAATGTATATGACCAGAAGAGTGGTTCTGTTAGATTGGCTTATATCATCAGAGATGGAATGACCATCTGTGGGCTGGAGATGGCAGTAGCTGCTTGGCCCAAAAAGCTGGAAGCCAGAGCAAAAGACAGAGGCCATGTGCAGTCCCAGTGCAAGGCTGAAATCCCAAAAGCCCCTTAGAGAGCTGTGGGTGGACGTCCACATTCAAAGGCTGAAGAATCGGGAGTCTGGAGTCTGATGTCCTCTGGCAACAGCAGGCCCAAAAAAAAAAAAAAACCACACATTTATGTAAGAAGGTTCAAGTGTGCCTGTGTGTGCAAGCTTCTCCCTTTCTCCACTTTTTCTTTCCACCTGGAAACATCAGCCTATTGGATGATGTCACACACATCCAGGGCAGGTCTTTCCCACTCCGTTCACTAACATACACAGCAATCTTACCTGTAAATTCCCTCACAGATGTATCCAGAGATACATTTTACCAATTTTCTAGGTATCCCTCAATCTAGTCAAGTTGAAAAACAAAATTAACCATCAGAGAGAGCCTAAAGGAAATGCAGGCAACTGCACAGCTGTCACTGTGAGAAAGCACAAAGGCCTAAACAGATAGTGATGAGGAGGTGATGGAGACAGGTCAGAATTCTTGACGTGTGACAGAAGGATGTGGTCTCTGCAAGGCTTGGTGGATGAAGGGGTAGGAGGGCAGAGGTTTTCAAGTCGTTGAAATCATAAACCAGTACAAAGTAAGAGGGGGACAAGTTGACTTCACCTGGCATCATCATGACTCCTTGTATTACTACAAACAGCCAAACCAGGGCAAATGTGGTCTACTGAATGCTTACTGTGGTTGACAAGGGTGTTATGGACTGTATGCTCCTGGAGACACAGCCCACAAAGCACCATCACTGTATCATCCAGTTCATTAGTTCGTTCTTACATCTTGTTGATCAAATATTTATTGGTGTGGTAGTAGGTGGAGGAGGGAGGAATTATATGTTACATTAAATAAAGAAAATAACTTTTAGGTAGAGATAAATACTGTTGAAAAGTTAAAATAAAGTGAGAGATCAGGCCTGAGTGGATGAGTTGGAGTTATGACTTTACACAAGTCAGGAAGGCCCTGTGAGGACTTGATCCTGGAGCTTAGACCTGAATGACCCAGGAAAGAGCATTTCAGAAAGGATCCTGGGGCAGGAGCTAGATTGGTGCCTGGTCTTTTTGAAGCCACTTCTCTAGGCTGGGTTACTACAGTAGTCACCACCTGGTCTCCCTACTCTGTCATTTGCAACACTGGAACAATTCTTAATATGAGTGAGATTGCCCCTCAAAACCCTCCAGAATTCTCATGTCACGATGAGTAGAAGCCAAAGTGTTCATGATGACAGCGAAAGCTTCCTCACCCCTTCTTCCCTCTTAGGTCACATCTTCCACTCATTTGCTGCTTGTTCCTTCTGCTCCAGCCACACTTCCTTCCTTCCAGCTTCTCTGGCTTTTCTAACCCACACACCTCAAGGCCAAGAACCAAATGACTTGTCCCTTACTCAGATCTTAGCATGGATGTCAAGGGTCCAAAGACTGTGCTTAGATTTGAAGATTTGCTAAGAGTCAGCATATAGCTGTATTCAGAGTTATATCTATTATAGTGAAAAAATACCCAGCAAAATCAGCAAACAGATAAAGTACATGGGTCAAAGCCCAGAGGCAACCAGGCACACACTTCTAAGAGCCCTCCCCCGGTGGAGTCACAGAGGACATGTTTCATTCCCCCATCGAGGAGTTATAACACTTGTGAAATGCTTTTTACCAGGGAAGCTCCTTAGAGGCTTCCACGCCCAGAGTTTTTATGGGGGCGGGTCACGTAGGTAGCCTCTGCCTGGCATGTCCTAGAACATCACATTTCCACAAAGAAAACAGGCATTCTGTATAAACCATGTCATTTGCACAAACCATCTAGTCACAGTAGCCGATTTTTCCTTTTCAGTGCTGGAGATCAAACCCAGGGCCTCACACATGCTAGGCAAGTGCTCACAAGTGTGGAGTTTTCTTATCAGGGAATTGTAAAAACCCTCCCCAGATCTAAGTCCCTAGACGCCAACAAGAGCCAACCTCACAGGCAGGCCTTTCTGCTGACATCAGGGGTGCTCAGGGGAAGCCTACAGCACCTGGTATAAGCAGCCCTTCTTAGCAAAGTGGTCTCGGCCCTGCTGGTTAACTCTTTACTGCGCAGCTCAGAAAGCACCTTTTCAGTGGGACCTTCTCTCAGCACCTCATTTGAAACAGCAGCTCCTCCAGCAGAACTCCGCTCTCCTCTCCAGGTTGGATTTTTCTTATGGCACTGGATGCTGTCTAAGATACTATACAGCCCGTGTTGATGTTTATGACCTGTATCTCCCATTACACTGCAGGCGTCACAAGGGCGGGGAGTTGTGCCTGTCTATTTACCACCTGACCCCTACCACCTGGGAAGTTTGGTGTTTGGCTCGTGGTAGTCCCTCAGCAAAATGTGGCGGATGAATGAGTGGATGCTTAAAAACAGGAAAATGCGGCACGTGTGGTTTGAACAAAGTGACAGAAAGAGGGAGGAAATATGGTCCCTGAGTAGGCGGGGTGAGGGAAGGCAGGGACCTTGTGGGCCTCAGAAGGGCTTTATTTCGTTCTGCGTTGGGTTTTTTGTCTTTTTTTTTAAGACAGGATCTTGCTTACTTTACCCAGGTTGGTTTTGAACTCATAATCCTCCTGCCTCTGCCTCCCAAGTGCTGGGATTACAGGTGTGTACAACTAGGCTTGCAAGGGAAGGGCTTTAGATAAACATGCTTCTAATGAGCCCTGTCTACCATAGAGGTGCCCACACCAGGTCTGTACCAGTTTCTCAACTTCAGCCCACCCCAATTCTCATTAGGTTCAAGTGTCTGTTTTTCTTCCTTTCCCTTTTAGTCAGTAGTGGGATTCAGAGCAGAGTCTCTTACTATGTGCACAATAACACATCACAATTTTCTGCCCTAAAGCTTATCGCAATTATAATCACTTCATGATCTGTATAATTTAGTTACTATCTCAGTTCTCCATGGGATGGAAAATCCCTGGGCTTATTAACACTATCCTCAGAGCCCCACAAATTTGAATGAATGACTGCTATTCTCCAGAGTGGGGGAAGAGTGGACTAGGCTAGGCTCCCTGGGAATCTGGAGCCGGTGGGGAGCTTTCTCAGGTTCCCCAGCTAAGACTGGCTCAGCAGCATCTCTGCAGCCTCCCTCCGGGTTCAGCACACAGCCTCCAAAAAGTCCTGGCTCTGACCCAAGCCTCTCACACTTGACCGTGGATGTCCATTTTCCAGGAGCCCCTGGAGAAGGCCCAACTGCTTGCACTGGCTGGAGACCAGCTTATCCAAAACCACCATTATGCGGTGGACTCCATCAGGCCCAGGTGTGTGGAGCTCAGGCACCTCTGTGATGACTTCATCAATGAAAACAAGAAAAAATCTGACATTTTAAGAAAGTCCTTGGAATTGCATAGACAGCTGGACAAGGTGAGCAAAACAAAGCCATGAACATGCTTGCACAATTTTCTATAAAACAGGTTTAATCATAGTGTCCTGCCTGCCTGACACAACGGCTGAGAGATCAAGTGATTTAAATGAAAAAAAAAATGCTTAGGAGCTGTGAAAAACTGGATTGTATGTCATCAGGGGACAGAAGGCAAAAAGCACCCCAGACATTTCGCCATGTCGCACTACACATTGGTGGTGCAAGGGTGACACTGAGAACCACTGGGATGAATGATTGCTTAAGATCATCGTGGTGTGAGTAGGGAAAGCCAGATTTGAAGCCAGGACAACCAGATTCTAAACCCAGGCTTCTTAGTCTAGACAGCAAGACTGGCTACACAGAGCCTCACAGAGAGAGGGTTGTGCAGACCTTGGTGTCCTTCAGATGTGACCTCAAGGATGAGTTCCCAGTAAGCACAGGCAGTGACTTCTGGAGCCTTCCCTGTCAGCTGCCTCCGGCGGCATGTGGCTGGTGGCCGTGAGTCAGCATGCTCCATTCCCACAGCTGTTTCTGTCCCATGGCTGGGGCACCACCGAGGCTGTTTACACCATCTGATTGCCAAAGGGATTTTCATGTCAATGAAATGCAGTTGTTCCAGAAGCAAGTGGCTCAGAAGCGGCTGGTGCATGGCCTGCTCTGGGTGCTAAGCTCGCAGGACCAGCTGCTGTTTCTGCTCCACTGTGACTCTGCAGAAGATTCTAGCTTAATGCTTTCTGCAGATCTTAGCATGATGTGTAAAGAGAAAGTTTTCACAGTACATATCAAAGTGTGATGCCCTACAAATTTGAAAGTCCAAAAATGAGGAAAAAGGTAATCATCCCACTCCCCTTCCCATCCCCACATGGTGGTAATCATGAATTTTAAAATAACTTTATTATTCTAAATGTAGTACAAATTCAGCACAGATAATTTCAGGAAATAATGAAGACAAACATTTAAGTTGTCTGTAATTTTCCCCTTGAATAACTACTTCTCAGTGTTTCTTCTTGGTTTTTTTCTTCATGTAGTTATTTTACAATGCTCTTCAGCTCACATGCTAAACGTAAACACAGATATGCAAGCTTCTTTTCATGCAAATATTCAGGCAGCATAAGGGCCCCCTGAAATGGAGTTCAGAAGAGGAAAGAAAACAAGTCTTTTAAAAGATAAAGTTGTTAGAATTCACCACTTATCTGATTTCATCCTAACATCTACAAAATTTGAGTATTACTGCTGAGTTACAAAGCTTTGCATTCTAGGATGTTCTGTAGGAAAAGCAAATGCCAATAAATGCAAATGTGGATCATCTGGAAATCCAAAGGGGAAAGTGGTGCTGGTGTTAAAAGGGACAGTCCTTCCCCAGGAAGCCATGTAGGGGCGAGGCCTAAATGCCTCATTTAATCACCCTGTGTTCTTGTGGCCAATTTGAATGCAAGACAAGTGGCCTAAAAGGTAGCCTGAAAATCCACCGACTCTATTTCTCTCTCTACTCTTGGTGATATACCAATTATTGACAGTCAAGAAGAGAAGAATGTTTGTACATTCTTCTGACTTCCCTGAGGATGGACGTGGGTAGAATTGACTTGGGCTTGTCTACCTTATAGTTTTATTTAAAGTAGTTAGACCCTAAACTTTGTACTGTGTCCTCACAATTTCCTATTGTCCCAGAGGCTTACAAACCCCTTAAGAACTCAGAGCTCCCAGTGAGGGTGGTGGCTGACTTGTGATCAGGTTAACTGCACAGGGCACTGTGTTTCTTTTCAAAAGGTCAGCCAGTGGTGCGAAGCGGGAATCTACCTCTTGGCTTCCCAAGCAGTAGACAAGTGCCAGTCTCGAGAGGGGGTCGACGTTGCCTTGAACGACATTGAGACATTCCTGGGCACTGCCAAAGAGTACCAGCTGCTCAACCCCAAGGAGTTTCACAACCAGTTTGAGTCAATCCTCACCCTTGATGTAAAGGTGATGTTTCTGGGTTATTTTGATCCTGTGGTTGGGAAAGGGGAGAGGGAGGAGAGGGACTTCACCTGCTGCCTCAAACAGTCCCTGCAGGACATACTGAGCAGGGTGTGCTGAGCAGGCTAACCAGGCCCCCGGTCATCAGGCGGCCTCTTAGACTTTTGGCCTCAATGTCTTGGAAAACTGACCTTTATGGTCTCACTCAAATATCACCTTCAGGAATTCATTTGCATTCATGCACATGAGTATCCCTGGTGTATCATGCACTGTGCTGAGTGCTAAGGACACAAAGCGAGCCAAAATGGGTCTGTTTCCATCCTCATGGAGCTCATAGTTTAGTAGGGCACTAATAAAATGATCACAAATAATTACAAGCTGAGATAAATGTTTTGAAGGTGAGATTCAGGTTGCTTTTGGGCACCTGGCCTGGGGTCAGAGAAGGATACTAGGGGGAGCCAGGGCCTGGAGAAACTGTAGAGAAGGTGGGGATCTTCCCAGACAGAAGGAAGAAGACTTCAGCACCTGGCACAGGTGGAGAACCACAAGGTCAGGGTGGGGTTCTAGACTGCAAGGGAAGGAGACTCAGGTTGAGGTTTGGGAGGGGGCGGATGAGATGGGCTTTGTGGGTCACAGTAAGGAGTTGGTCTTTTTGCCAAGGGCAGTAGGGAGCCATGGAAGGCTTTAAGCAGGGGATATCTTGATTGGGTGTGCATTTGAGAAGAGCAGTATTGCATGAAGCCAGCAGGGTCACACATGGCTCACCTTCCTTTGAGATCCATGGCACCTCATATAGACTTCTTAGTTAGGGGCTTCTCTACCTCTTCGGAGTAATGCCCCCTCTCTAGAATCTGATTCATGTATTTTTAGTGTTCTTCACCCTCAAAGTCATTAAAGGGATTTTGATGTAGGTATTGTTTTTAAAGATGTGGACAGGATTTAGGGAAACAAACAAGTGGTGTCATCCAGAAATTTGGATTGCCAGTGGAAACCCAGGATGAACTCAGGCTGTAACTATAGGAGAAGGCAGCTGGTAGGAATTGTAGAGGAACGAGAAAATATATTCCCCCAATTTCCATAGGCCATCTGCAAGCTCATGAACTCATCTAATGGAGTCCTAGAGATCAGCTATTTGGGGCACAGAGCAGGGAGAGAAGATGTAGGGGAGCAACACACAGCCTTCCAAGTAGCTAGGATTACAGGTGTGAGCCTGTATGTGGTTATGTGCGCCTGCCACACAGTTATTTTTAATGTCTATGGTTCTTGTTATGTTGGGAGTAGGGTCTTTGTTTCTTCCATCTCAGTATCCCTATGCCTAGCCTGTGCCTGCTATACAACCCATGGCGGTTGAACAGGGATGGGCAGTGTGGCAGTGTGGCAGTATGGGCACAGGACAGAGGGGATAGCTCAGTGTGGAGCTTTACCTTCATGCTGTTCTTTCCCTGACTTCTTCCAGTGAGTGTTGGTCATGAGATACAATCTCGAGGCGAGTGGCAGATAGGCAAGCCACCTTCTCCCAGCACAAAGATTCTCTACTTTCCTGCACAGGGGACCAAGAGAAGGACTGTCCACCAAAATAGTAGTAACAAATACTGCACATAAAGTGGACCTTTGGCCCCACCCTTCCTGTCTCTGTTCTTGCACCTGTGCTTCTGTGTTGTCCTCTACCAAGTTGTTTCGCAGCAAGAAGGATCTTGCCAGATGCTGGCACCTGCTCTAGGATGTCTTAGCCTCTAGAATTGTAAGAAATGATCTTACCAGATCCACATCCATCCACTTACTGCTCAAAGCCAGTACTCAGGAGATCAGAGAGAGTGGGAAGGAAATCAGGCTTATTCAAGGACCAGAAGCATGAGAAGATGGGGGCTATCACCCCTCCAAAGACCATCTTAGAGAACTGAGGTACACAAAAGGGCTTTTTTGGGGGAGGGAGAGAGACTCAGGAGGCACTGGGCAGGAAGACCACATGTCGAGTGGGGTCTTCATCGTCTAGGGTGTGTGTCTTTTCTTTTTCTCCCTTCCCTTCCCTTCCCTCCCCTCCCCTCTCCTCCCCTTCCCTCTCCTTTCTTTTCTTTTTTCTTTTCTCAGCCAGAGCATTGCAATTGACCTCAACCTACTGAGACTGGTTCCTGTAATTCTTTAGACAAACATAATACTTTTCTATGAGTTAACCTCAGAGCAAATTTAAATGCTTTGTGTGATTTGATACACAGGACTAAAGCATAGGAGGGGCTTTTTGCATTCTGAGGTTATCTGAAGGTTGCCAGATATTCTGAGCTCTGTAAATCTCTGAAGAAAGATTATTTAGCAGCTAACGTATTAGTCTTTTAGGCACAACTTTTCTTTAAAATTTAGAATCACACGCAAAGGGAGAAGTTAAAAGACACACACACTCACCAAGAACAGCCACTATTACAGTAAATCTTTGTTCTTTATAAATTACCCAATCTCGGGTATTGTGTTACAGCAGCAGAAAACAGACTAACACACCCCTCTTTTCTTCTTTTGAATTGGAATAAGATTCTATGTTAGAAAATTTAAAATACCTCTGTGTCAGAGAATGAATTTTGTTCATTGGGGCATAATGACTTTGTTATCAACTCTGCTACTATATATGTATACAAATATTTTTTTTCTCCTTTTATTTTATCATTTTTACATTTACCTTCATGTATATACATCGTTTGTACCACATCCCCCCCACCCCCTACAAATATCTTTAGATATATTTCTATGCACGGGTTGGTAAAGGCACATGTATTTCCTTCCTTTGATGGTTAGAAAGCCCATAAGCAACAACATCATAGTGTGAACAAGCACACTTAGCACCAAGACCTTGTTTCTTAATACCCTTCTCTAGTGAGAAAAATAAACAAACAAACGGGATTAATTGAAAGCACACCCTGGGACTTCTGAGGCAGGGCATGTATAGCATGATCCTGGAGCATCTTGAAGTACCAGAAAGTAAGGAGTACTACAAAAGAAAACAGACATACCACAATGATGGGGCATGGGAGCCAACTGGCAGAGCTCTCAGAGGCCAACGTTGGAAGAATGTGAGCAAGAAAATTAACAACGTTGTATAAGATTGCAACCCCAAATATAAAATAGATAATCACAAATCAGTGCTGATATAAATGCATGATGGAATAAAGAAGCAGGAAAGAGGAAACCACTTTCCCATGCAAGAGAATTTCTGATTATTTGTGTAGATGCTCTGCCCTCAAGGAGGAAATGTAACCCCCACTCAAGTGTGGGATACACATAAAAATCATTTCACAAGAGTATAGATGAGAGAAAATACAACTCTGGAAATCTGACAGATACCTTCTTACTCTGTTGATCAAAGTCAGTATCGACAATGGTAAGTCATGTGGAAACTATGCACCCCTGATGTGTTGTGATGAAAATAGTGATTTACCTCTGAATTTCCTCCCCCAAACCAATAACCTCAGTCTAATCATGAGAGAAGCATCAGAAAAATTCCAATTTCAATTGAAGAACATTCTACAGAAGGTCTGACAATACTCCTTACCGTAATCAAGGTCATCAAAAACTAGGAAAATCTGAGAAATTGTCATAGCTGACATGAGCCTAAGAAGACATGACTACTAAATGTAATATTTTATCTTCGGGAAAAAGAGAGCCAACAGGTAAAAAACTAAAGAGATATAAAATATCAACTTTAGTAATAATGCTTCAACATTGGCTTGCTAATTTTAATAAATGTGCCATACATGTAAGATGCTAACAAAGGGGGAAGTTGGTATGGAGTATATGGAAATTGTAATAGTTGATTTTGATTGGCAACTTGATCGGATTGGGATTAGTAAAACACACCTCTCCTCTTCAGAGAGGAAAGACCCATGTGAATGTGGGAGGTGCCATCCGGCAGGCTGGGGGCCTGAATGGAATAAAAGGGGGCTTACAAGAAGAACATCATCTAACCCAGCCATTCTCTCTTTGCTTCCTGGCTGCCATGATATAAAGTGCTCTGCTCTGTCACATCCTTTCCACCATAATGGACTGAAACCTCTGAAACAGTGAGATAAAATAAATGTTTCTCCCCTAAAGTTGTTTTGTCAAGTGTTTTCTTACAGTGATGAAAAGTCTTATTGATACAGGAACTCTCTGTACTGCTTTGCAATTTTGCCATTTATCTCCTGTAAAATATAACATTAACTTTCTTTAAAGAGGACACTCTAAAGATTTGCTATGTTACTTTGAAGACACAATGACAATAAACTTTATCAGGAATTAAACAGTTGTTCCTTTTTTTTTGTTGAGCCATGCCCCCAGCACTTTTGCTTTTAGTTTTTTTTTTTTTCCCAAATAAATTCTTGTGCTTCAGACCATAATCCACCAACCTTCCAAATAGCTGGGATTACAGGCATGCATCACCATGCCTGGTACTAAACTATTATTCTTATAGTAGGCACTCTGTTACTATCAGAGACTCTTCTAGTGGTTTCTCTTAAGTGCTGTTGTGCTACTCTTATTGATGCTGCTTAGATTTTTCTCCCTCTCTTTCACTATCTAGTCAATTGGCAAAATTCAATCCTTCAAATATTCATTGGGTTCTCAGTGTGTGCCAGGTATACTGTACTACATTCTGGGAAGACAATAGTGAGTCACAGTCCTTGCAGTGAAGATGCTAGTTTAGCAGAAGACAAACATCTTCCAAGTCAATGTTCCTCTGTCCAAAAGTATATAGAATGGACAGTGAGGCACACAGGGGAGGCAATAGTCATCTAGGCAAGCTCTCTAGTCCTGACCCACACGCCTATCACCTAAGTCTTAAAGATTCAGTCAATAGTATTTCAGGGAAACACATGGAGGCAGGGAACCTTAGTGGAAGGGATGGAAGGTACAAAGGCAGCAAGGCTGGGGACAGAGGAGTATTTGGTGAAATTCCCAGTGTGGGAATGTGGAGGTATGTGGGGCTGAGGGATGCCCGCAGGGGGTGAGCCTGGGAAGATCAGGGTCATAAGGAGCCTTGGCCTCAGGACAAGGAGTTGGGACTTTCTCCTGGAGCAGAGGGAAACCCCAGAGGGTTTTTTTTTTTTTTTTTTACTTTTCATGACTTTATTCATCAGTTTGGACCACCTGAGGTCATGTGGCTCCAGTCTTCTCATTGTGGAGAGTTGAATCTCTAACTTCTTGGATTGTTGACAAGGAAGTTCTAAGATGGGATACACAGTTTAGAAAGGTAATTTTGATTGTGGCCTGGAGAATGGAGTTGCAAGTGACAAGAAAGAAGAGGAAAGGGGGAAGTGCAGTTTCATGAGCTGCCCCTTACCAGAGTTGAGAAATTTAAGCCTCTCCTGACTCTTCCACCATCTCCAGGGTTCATGCTGGGATTATCAGGAAGAACTATGAGAGGGCAAAAATGACCTGAGTCCCATCCAGTCCACACATTGAGTTGTTGAGCTCTAGCATGTGGGGTGGACCTCACGCCAGGGCTGTCCACTTGATGTCGTGTTCCTCACGACTTTTGTATGGCAGTCAAGCTCATCTCCAGGCTGCAAAGGCAGAGCGGCAGTCACTGATCGCCAAGTCTTACCCCATCCCCCCAGGAATCAAGCCTGACATTGCCTTCACACCCACATAGGGGAATGTGGTTTCTTTGGGGACTTAGATAGCTATGTTACCAGAACCTCTAGTCCATTGTACATCTGAGTTCCTCAACATCCCAGGGTACATTCTCTGAGAAGACCCTTCAAACACAGCCAGCCTGTCACTTATATATTACCTATGGCTGCTTTTAGCCTACAATAGCAGAGTTCAGTAGTCACAACAGAGACTTCATGGTCTGCAAAACCTAAAATATTTACTGCTTGGTCCCATATAGAAAAAGTTGATTGACCCTAGATCAGCACTGGCCAAGAAAGTATAATGCAAGCCACAAATGTAATCTTAGCTGTTCTAATATCCATATTTTTTAAATTGAAAAGAAACAGGCTAAATCAATTTGAATAATGTTTTAGCTTACATCCAAAATATTTCTTCAATGTATAGTTAATATTAAATGTAATGAAATATTTTATATCTCTCTGTCTCTGTATCTCTCTTTAAATTGGTGCAGTACTGGGATCAAACCCAGAGCTTTGCGCAAGCTAAGGAGGCATTCTACCGCTGAGCTACACTCCCAATTCCACATTAAGTCTTCAAAATTCAGGATATTCTTTATACTTCTAGTACATCTCAATTCAGACTAGATGTATTTCAGATGGTCAGCATCAAGTGTGGCTGGTGGTTAATGTATTACACAGTTTAGGTCTGAACTCTGAGACTGTTCAACGAGTGAAGTTGTAACTGAAAGTGACAAATTTACATCATGGTGAATGCAAAGACAAAAAGCACAACCAGGAGATAAAAGAGTGGGGAAAGATGTGATTCCTTCAGCAGGAAGTAGGAAAGGTTATTTCCAAAACAGTGGGGAAGAAAACATGGGGATTTTATTTGGAGAGTCTATATACGTTCATATAAGAACATGTTTAAGGCCTTCTTTCCTTCCTTCCCTCTCCCCCTCCCTCTTTCCTTTCTCCCTCCCTCACTTCCCTCCCTCCCTCCCTCCCTCCTTCCTTCCTTCCTTCCTTCCTTCCTTCCTCCTTCCCTCTATCCTCCTCCCTCCTTCCCTTTTTCCCTCCCTCCCTCATTCCTTCCTTCTTTCTTTCTTTCTTTTCCTCCCTTCCTTCCTTCTTTTCTTTCTTGTACTGGAGTTTGAACTCAGGGCTTGCCAGACAGATGCTCTACCACTTGAGCCACACCCCCAGCCCTAAAATGTACATTTCTGAGCATTCTCAGTTTAAGGTCCTAGTTCAAGAAAGCAAGATGGTGGACATACTTCTGGGCATGCTTAGCTCAAGGTCCTAGAACACATATTCCAAAAGGGAAGATGACAACTGTGTGTGGTGAAGAGTGACTGTAACCTGAGCACTCAGGAGATTAAGCCACAAGGATTGAGAGTTCAAGGACAGCCTGATCTATACAGGGGCACCTGTCTTTAAAAAGAAAAGGGAAGCTGGGCACTGGTGGCTCGTGCTTATAATCCTTGCTACTTGGGAGGCTGAGGTTGGGAGGATCATGGTTCAAGGACAGCCCTGACAAGTAGTTCAAAAGACCCTCATCTCAACCAACAGCTGAGCAAAGTGGAGTACCTATCATCCCAGCTATGCAGGAGGCTGAGATAGGGAGGGCTAGGGGATGCATAAAAATAGGAGGATGGTAGTCAAAAAATGATACCATGTCTCCAAAATAACCAGAGCAAAAAGGGCTGGAGGCATGGCTCAAGCAGCAGAGCACCTGCTTTGCAAGCATGAAGCCCTAAATTCAAAACCTGGTACGAAATAAAGGAAAGGAAAGGTCTTAAGGGAAGGGAGTGGAGCAAAGGAACGGGAAGAGAGAGGAAAAGAGAAGAAAGAGTGAGAAATGAAAAGAAAGAAAGAAAGAGAAAAAGGAAGATGGAAGACAAAAGCTAAATGCTTCTGGGCATATTCAGTTCAGTATTACAATGAGCGAAAGCTAAAAGGATGAGACAGAGTATCTCAGTGACATTGGCTCTATAGAGTCTTAGTTGAAACAAAAAGAAAGAACAACTCTGGAGGTATGTTAATACAGGAGTTTGCCTCCTTAGGTGCCTGCCTCAAGTAGATGAACCAGAGATCTTGGTCCAAGGTCCATGCTGATAGGGTCTCCTGCTACAGGGGAGCTGTTGTACAACTGAAACTCCTGTGTGGCTTCAGGCTTTTTGCTCTTTCCCTGAGAAGACAGCCTGCATAAAAAAGACACATTTATTTTTCTGGTTGCAAATGCTATCAACATTGGGGTGTTTGTTGAGCCTGCACTTTCGGAATTAGTCATCCCACATCCTATGTGGCTAATGAGGGTTCAACTTTTTTGACTCTGACTCTCTCCTTTGGTAGTTCAAAACACCAGGAAATAGGTGTCAGAATCCATATGACAAAGAAAGGGCTACTCACTTCTCCTGACACAACAGCGCTGGAGGCATGTGCCCCTGGAAAGAAGGCTGGGAGAAATGATTCACTTGAATGCAGGTCTTGAGTAACCTGCAGCTTCCAGGATCTGATTGTTCTTTTCCTACACCTTTGTCAGAAAGCACAGAGTCAGTCAAGGGCAAGCTCGTGAGCTCTATCTTTCCCCTGGCATTTCTTCCATGTATTGCTTTCCTACTTACACACAGCTAGGAAAAGTAGAGGTCCTGCAGAATGACATTTAAATGTGTCCTTTTTACTACAGGTGCTTCATGATCCTCCTCAGAATTTAGCTACTCTTCCCTAAGAACACTTAAACCCTTACTTCCACCAAGGCCCTTTTTTGAGATACCTCTCTGATTTTGAAAAGTCCTCCTGGTTTGTACATTGGCCTAATGTCTCTCATCTGCAACCCATGGCATCCTTTCCTACCATTAATGGACATGGCTTGGCGAACATTTGCCCACTCAGCAAATACTTACGGAGTGCTACCCATGCCAGGCAGTGTTCTTGACATGGTCAAGGCCCCCAAAGGTCTCAAGTGGGAGACACAGGCTCTTTGAAATCTGATTCTAGAGCCTAGCAACTGTGTGATAACGTGTAAGGATGCCCAGAGGAGGGTCAGGGAGGGAGAGATGGAGGGAACTGGGGAAGATGGGAGAAAGGGAATGCTTCATGACCTCAGGGTGTTCATTACGATTTGCTTTTGTTCCTACAGGTCAAAGCCCAGAAAGTTCTGCAGAGGCTGGGTGATGTGCAGGAAATATTTCACAAGAGGCAAGTGAGTCTGATGAAACTGGCGGCCAAACAGACCCGCCCAGTGCAACCTGTGGCTCCTCATCCTGAGTCCTCCCCAAAGTGGGTGTCACCAAAAACCAGCCAGCCCTCCTCCACCGTGGGTAGGTTATTTGGGAGAAGGAAGTTTTGTGGCTTTTGTGTTTCATCAGCACCTCTGAAGGCTAAGGTTGTGGTTATCTAAGATGGATAATGGTAATTTGGTTTTGACAGATAAGATTCAAAACACACTACAGATATGGCATAGTGCAGACATTGAAGACTTTCACAGATATTTAGATAATACTTAGTGTCTGGCTGCATGGAGAAGCAAAGGAATAATACAAATGCACAAATGACAGCACTCCATGAAGAGTCTTTAAATGGTCCACAATCTATTAGCAATAGAGTGGTAAGGTTAGTTTTTTGAAAGGATAAAAAGAAAAAATAAGCTCTTACACCAGCCTCCACATCTTTATGACATCAGTGTATTAGTAAGCCTTAAGTTTAGGTCATGTAAGTATTCCAACTTTGTTCTTTTTTCAAGATTGTTTTGATTATTTTAGGTCAGGTTCATTTCCACATTAGTTTTAGAATCATGTTTCAATTTCTACTGAGCTTATGATTAGGGTTGCACTGAATATATGGATCAATGTGGGGAGAACTGCTATCACTATTGGGTTTTTCAGTTCATGAGGATGTTACAATTATTTATTTAGGTCATCTTTAATTTCTCTCAGCAGTGTAGTACATTAGAGGGCTAAGGATTTACACATTTCACATTTTGTCATGTCAGTGGAATTTGCTATATATAACTGATAAGAAGAATGTGTTTCTGTGGAGAAGTACAATCATATCATCTGGTATGGTGATAATTTCACTTCTTCTGTTTGAGTCTTTGTTTTTTTCCTCTTGTCTCACTATAATGGCTGGGACCTCCAATACAATGTCGAATTGAAATCATGAGAGCATTGCCTTTTCTCAATATCAGATTTCAGGTTTCATCTTTATAATACTAGCTGAAAGTCTTCCACAGATGGCTTTTACTAGATTGAGGGATTTCCTTTCGGTTCTTAGTTTTTGAGTATTATTTTTTTTGGTCATGAATGATGATTGCAGTTTTAGATACTCTTTTTGGCACATACATTGAGGTGATCACTTGCTTTTCTCCATAGGGCCATCGTTGATATAGTGGATTACAATGGTTTGCTTCGTAATGTTAAAGCAACTACATTCCTAGGCTAAGCTGCTAAGACATGATATTTGTCATTTGTCATATCATGTACTGTGAAGCTTTGTTATGATGCATATACAAATTCATAATTTTTATGTCTTCCAGACATATTAGAAATGTCTCTTCTTCACTCCTTATCACTAGTAATACTCTTTAAATCTGTTTTGTCTGATATGAATATAGCAGCCATGTTATCTTTCTATGCTTAATGTTTGGGTAACAAATCTTCCCCCATTGTTCTGTTTTTGTATTTACATATATTTCTCATAGGAACATATAATTATGTCTTTTTAATACATTTTTACCTTTAAAGTACATTTTGTTCACACCTGCCTTTTTTAGCAGAATTTTATTTTATTTTTTTTTACATTTTTGTTAGTGTATCTTAGTTATACAGTGGGGTTTGTGATATTTCCATACATGAATAAAATGTGCTTTGATCAAACTCACTCCCTTTATCACTCTCCTTAATCCCCACTTCCTAGAATAATTTCATTAGGTTTCATTGTTCTCTGTACATACATTTGTTTAAAGTACTTTGACCATGTTCACCTTCCTCACCCTCTCACATATGTCTTTTAATTGGAGTGTTCGGTCAATTTATGTACAATGTAATTGTTGAAATAAGTGGATTCAAAACAGCTACTATTTCATGATCTATTGTCTGTTTATCTCTTGTATTTTTTGTTCTGCTTTCTTCCTTTCCTGTCTTCTTTCAAGTTAGCAGATATTTTTTAATTCAGTTTTGATTCCTTAATTGGCTTGTTAACCTATTTCTTTGCATTGTTTCTCTCACAGATGTCTCTCTAGGAATTGTCATATGCATCCTTAATTTATCACAATCTACCTTGAATTAGAACCTTATCACTTTATATGAAATATAGGAAATTTAGTTTAGTATAGTTTCACAAACACCTCCCACCCATCTTCTGTTCTAGTCTTATCATAAATATTATTCTACATATGTTAAGCTTCCTGCTGTGATTTGTTTGTTTGTTTATTTTGTAGTAGTGATGATAGAAGGTAGGGCCTTGTACATTCTAGGCAAGTGCTCTACCACTGAGCTATAACCCCAGTCCTGGTATTATAATTTTTAGATAAACATATATTTTAATGAAATTAAGAGAAAGGAACTGAGAACTGTTAATGCTGTGACCAACGATTGAAGTTCTCCACAGGATGCTATAGTTATTCAACATTGCTGCGTTTTCCTGAGGCGATATAAAATTGGTGATATGGGAAAGTAAATGTCTAAAAGTTGACAGAGAGAAAGAGAGAAGAACAAAAAAGTGTGTCTCCAGTCTTTTCTATTTACCCTCTCATTCACCATTTCTGGTATGCTTCATCCCTTATCATACATCTGGATTGCCATCTTGTATCATTTCTCTTCATGATGAGGAGCTTCTGTTAGCATTTCTTGTTGGGAGGTCTGTTGGAAGCACATTCTTTCAGTTTTTGTTTATGTACAGATTATGGGGTCTTTTGAGGAGTCTCTGTTTAGTGTAATTTATGGTCCCATCTCCCATCTTGCATTTCACTTTTTAGAAGGAAGCCTTGATAAGGGTTTAACTTAATTCTTTTCTGAATTTTTCTATGCACACACTCACATACATACACATTTATATAGACACATTTGCACATACACACCACAGACACACACATGCACTCACATGGGAACATCCTTCTTGGATGGTTGGAAACAAGATTTGGTGGTCCTGACTGTTCGTTCATCTTTCCTTAACGCCTATGACTTGGCCTTCTTCATTGTTTTGAGGCATATTTGTTACCAGTAAATAAAGCAGGAAGCATAGGCTGTTTTTTCAGCTTTTCAAACACAAGATTCATTATAGGTAAAACTCTCCAGGGTAAACAAACCTTCATCATGTCTGAACACGTTGTCATTGCCCTTGGGCAGGCAACTAGCTGGTTTTGCAAAACAATCCTACACTTTTATGTTTTAGCAAGTAATCACTGAGTGTGGACTCAAGCAGGTTACTAATAGAATTTTCAAGCACATTTGTCTAATTCCTTAGTAACTGAGTGCATGCCAAGGTAAACGATGACATTTCATAGAATAAAGAAGGTGGGTGGCGGAGGTTAGGGATGAGAACTGCAATCCAGCTCTGTCTCCTGCCAGCTGGATACCTTGAACATTTAACATCTCTGAAGTTCATAAGGAATGTGAAGAAACTTTTTTCTTTTTTCTTTTGCAGTACTGGAGTTTGAACTCAGGGCCTACACCTTGAGCCACTCCACCAGCCCTTTATTTGTGATGGCTTTTTTTTTTTTTTTGAGGATCTCCTGAACTGTTTTCTGTGGTGGCTTTGAACCATGATACTCCTGATCTCTGCCTCCTGAGTAGCTAGGATTATAGGTGTGAGCCACTGGTGCCCAGCTAGTAAACTGTTTTGTGATTCCTTGCTTTACAGATGAAGGAACTCAGGTATAGAGGTTTCTCTGGAGTATCTCGCTCAGGAAAGAGCAAGATGTGAATGTTGGAAGGATGGCTTCTGTAGCCTTCATTTTGTTTCACTTTACTTACGGGGTCAAGAGGAGGCACCTCTCAGTCAGGGGTTTCACCAGCTATAGTGCGTGCCTTTTAACCATTTGGTTATTATGATTGTAATCAAGAGATGCTACTGAGAGTGAAAGCCTAAAAAGTAGGCCATTGTTACAAAGTAGTTTCTGTGGCCTTATAACTTGGGGCAGTGAACATTGTACTTGACTACAAGTTTCATCATAACACCTATGAAAAACCTATAGAAAGTCCAAGCTGCTTCCAGTAGGCTCACAGAATGTGAGGATTGGGAGCATCCTGTGGAGGCTAGATGGTCAACCTTCATCAAACCCATCCCAGATAAGAATCAGAGTGATATATTGGTTGGCATGGGACCTAGGCAGCTCAAGTCCTGCCTCAGGTTAATCACAGCTGTCATGTGGTTTTCCCAAGAGAATTATATGCCCAAAGGTGGTGATAGTGACAAGAACTCAAAATACTACTTACTTATGAACTTAGCCATCACCTCCAATACTGGGTAAAGCCAATAAAGTGAGTTACAGAAAGCCTCAAAGCCTAACCAGGGCTTCACCCTCCCCAAGTCCAAGTCTCACTACCAAATGGCCATGGAGCCTGAGGAAAGGATTTTTCCCTGTGGGAAAGAGAGAGGGGAGGCAGAATGACCTAAAGAGGAGGGCAAGAGAAAGACAGCGCGGTTCCTTCCTGATTCAGCTAATGTTGGGATCTGTCACAGTTGTCTTCCATGGAGAAACATGGGTTCTTCATTTCTGAAAGCCATCCATTACATCTGTAGATAGCAGCAACTTCCTCTGCCTAGGGCAGGTTTGGGCATCCCGGTGTACATTCAGTGTGTGTGTGTGTGTGTGTGTGTGTGTGAGAGAGAGAGAGAGGGAAAAACAGAGAGAGAGGACACACATTTTAAGAAAAACTATAAAGAAATATACCAAGTGATTGTGTTTAAGTGATAAGATTTTCTGTAATAAGCACAAATTAAGTTCCTTTAATATAAAGCGATATATTTGATAAAATGTGGCTCCTAGAATTTAATCTAGTTTTCTAATCCAAGGACAACATCAACGTTACAATACAAGTGATACATGCTGAAACTTTAGAGCCCAGGAGATGCCATGAAGTTTTGTACTAGTCAGGGAAGACTTCATGAAGAAAGTAGCTTTGTAGGTGGGTCTTAAAAATGGGAATGATAGAAACACTATCATTTTTTATCACATTGTGTTTACTGATTCGTTGTGGTTTGATATTCCATATGGTGTAGGTGTGACTTTGTCTCTTTGGCTCAAATGTCAAGTCCCTGGGGTCAAGGACTCTAGTTCTTTTCTGTGTCTTTCCTTCAGTTTCATCCACCACCAGGAAATCTCCACAGCAGCTCAGTTAAACTTTGATCATCAGCAGCATCCAACTACTTGTCCAATCAGAAAAATGCTCTGAGTTATGATTCATAAGTTGAATAACCAAATCAATGGCATGTCTTCTTTGTCCCTCTAGCTCCTCCTCAGAGAACATCTGAGGAACCTCATATGGAGAGAGATTTGAACTCCCTGGAAAAGGAAGATGATGATACTAAATCTGAAGTCAAGGTAAGACCACCTTTCTTTTACTGATAGAAATTTCTGATGTAAGAGAAGATCACTACCATAAATATCAATAAATCAGCAAATTGTGTTCCCCTGTGATGCACCTGTCATCACCTCCAGATGTGCCCCAAAGGCACACACGGTATAAAGTATTGCTCCCAACATCTGAGGTTTGTACAGTTTTTTCCTTTTCTTCCTTCTTAATTGCAACTGGACACAAATACTGTTTGAGCCTGTGTGTATAATTATTGGAAGATATTTGTTTATTGAGGGAAAGTCATTGTATTTGCTCCTGTAATATGACTTCATATTTAAAATTGGTGGAAAGGTGTGTGGTTCATGTAGAAGAAGAACATGAAAGTTGCATAGAGCTAAACACACGCACATGCACACATGCCTGCCTTAACAATGGGTGAACTCTGAGTAAGTTCTATGGACTGTGCCAACGTCAAGTTTTGGTTTTGATATCACACTATAGTTGTGTAAGATGCCAGCATTGAGGAAGTGGGGGATAGAACTTCCCTATGTATTTCTTTGCACCTTCATGTGACTCTGTGTGACTACGTTAAACAAAAGGAAATCGGTCAGTCTTGGATTTAAGCAACATCACTTCTCTAAACCTCAGCTTCTTGTGTGTAAAAATGGGGAGAACAACAGCTACTTCCTGAGACTGTTTGGAACACCAAAGGAAAATTGGGAAATTGCCAACCTCTATATAACTGTAGAGGAACACTGTATTTAGAGATGCAAGTAAAATGAGTTGTGAGTGTATGTTCTGCATAGCAAGCCCAGAAGGATTGCCATTCCTTTACCAAAAAGCTGGGGGAATTGAAGATTAAATAACCAGCTAGTTGAATTGTTGGAACCCAGTAGGCATGGCTTGGATGAACTTCAACAGCAGTGTGGACCCATCACCAATCCCTAGCGGATCTGAATACAGGACTGCACAGGAAAGAGTCCAGCAGAAAGCAAGGCATAGGCTTTTCTTTCTGGAAGCAGAAACAGTGTGGGAACTAAAGTCCCCAGCAGACTTCTTAGAGAGAGAAAGCCACACTCTTCTGCCCATGAGTTAGTCATCCTTCCGTATTCTGTGCAGGTTACGATGTTGCTTCTAAATCCCTCATGGTTAGAGGAACTACATCACTGTGTCTTTGATTTAGTCTGAGTGTAGGTATTTTGAGACAGGGTTTCACTATTTAGCCCAGGCTGGCCCTAAACTCATGACCTCCCTGCCTCAGTCTCCTAAGTATTAGGATTATAGTCATGTACCACCATGCCCAGACCTTTGAACTGTCTTAATCAGTCATTTAAAAAAAAAAATGACAATTTTCTGAAATAGGTAAACATAGTGAAGCTTCACCTGACTTGACACCCATGACATCTATGGAATCATTAAATGACATTAAAAAAGGTTTAACTGTAGTTATCTTGAAAAATAAACATTGGCCTCTCCTTTTCTTCAATCAGGACTTCTAAGCGGCATTATCTTGGAAGGTGAGAACTGTGTCATGTGCAATAAAGCCCAGATTTGATCCCTGAACTCATATTGTGTTGCCATAAACTCATCGTGTCATTCACACTCACTCCACATCTCTTTGACTGATTGCTCATCTTCAGAGAACACACTCATGACCTGCGCTCTTCATAAAGATGCATGGGAGTTTTAAGTATGTAGAGGTTCTGTATAAAAGGATCCAAATTAGAGAAAATTATCTGAGTCATTGTGAACATTAAATACAAAGTCTTATTGTATTGGTTGTCAAAGAAAAAAACTGACAGTGAGGAGCAGGGGTGGGTATAGCGTCAGGGGCCTAGAGGCTTGGAAAGTGTTGAGTAGAATCCAAGAGGCTCTGATCACTGAACGTGTAGCTCTCCCTTCTCCTGCTATGCTGTTTATTGAATTCTGACTCCCAGCCCATCCTGCTCAGAGACTAGTTTCCTCTGTGTGCAGGTTGATCACCAACAGCCTGGGTACTGTCGAGCAAGCACAGTGCATGTTAAATCATGCTTCTGCACTTTCATTGGTTTTTGTTGTGGTGGTGGTTGTTTTATCCCTGACTGTTTACTTTTGTACTTGAAAAAGGGCTTTTCCCACAACTGATGTGTGTTAACAGCCAGGGTGAAGGGGGTACAAGGGTAGAAACAAGCCAGTCAAACTTCTGCTTGTAAAGACTATGGTTATGAGAAGAAATGAGAGCAGAATCCAGTTATGACAAGTGAAGGGGAAGAAGGTAGATTGTATACCAAATCCCCAGCTCTTAAACTGAGGTATTTTACAAGCTAGGTAGTTTAACCAGGGTCCCTATTATTCCAAAATGTGTCAGAGGACTAGTAACAAAAAGGTAGACGCATGGACCATGGATCATATAAAGGGGAACAGGACAGTTGGCTGACATTAAGAGCGACCATTGCTGCTCGTGTTTTGTGCCCAGTCCAGGATAGAAGACGAGGATGGACTGGGCATGCCTCTGACTCTGGGTGGCAATTTTGATACCCGTCATGACATGCCACCCATTGCCCTGAAGGGTACCCACTTGGAGAGAAAATAACGGTGAATCAAACCCATTCATACTTGCTGCTAGAGTCACTGCCACTCACTGCCTGCAACTGAACTCATGACAGGGCTTGATCATTATCAGAAGAGGCACACCCTCTCCTCTGGGGGTGGTGATCCTTGCTGTGCCAGTTGTCAGGACCTTGATGAGCTGCGGCTGACACTGAACCTGGGGCCATCTGGCAACAGTGCTGCCACATGCTCGGCTCACTGGGCAAGCCTGGAGGTAGAGGAGACGCGCTGAGGTTGCTGGCAACAGTGATGTGGCTGTTTCCTGTTCTTCATGTCACAACTGGAAGGTGAAAGCCTGACTCACAACAGCAGCTCTCCCCAGCTCAACCTGTTCAGAAGACAGAAGGAAGCCAGAGGCTGGCGAGGACTCCGTCCTGCATTAGACCCATAGGACAACAGGAGTGTAAACAGTGTTCCTGGGTACCTGATAAGTGGTCTAAAGTAGCAGAGGCCTTTTGGGGCTCCTTAATTTAAGAAAAAAAAAGGGAGGAAAGAGAGAGAGACAAGGATGGAAGGAAGGGAGGAACGAAGGAAGGAAAAAAGAAAGAAAATGAACACACACACACACACACAAATAAAATACTTAAAGCAGAGGATGGAAGGAAAATGGAGAGAGAAAAGAGGAGCGTTGCTAACACTGACCACAGTCCAGACATTGTGCTGGGTGCTGGGTGGACCCAATTTCATCTCCAGTCCTCAGTACCTGTGAGGAGAGTCATATGGTTCCCTTGTGCCAACAGCATTCTGAGAAATTGAGTGTCCCCCAAGCCCACACAACTGTATCTACGAGATACAGCCCCAGAGTGCCCCAGCAATGGCCAGCTGGGAAAAGAAAGATCTCTCCTCCTCTCCTCTCCTCTCCTCTCCTCTCCTCTCCTCTCCTCTCCTCTCCTCTCCTCTCCTCTCCTCTCCTCTCCTCCTCTCTTTCTCTCCCCTTCCCTCCCCGCCCTTCACTCACTGGGGTGTGATATAGAAACCAGGAAGAACTATGGAAATGCAGAAACCACTTAGAGAATCTGCCCTGGAAGCAGATCTGCCTGATCTGCCCTATAACTCGGTCTTGCTGGCCCTTTCTAGCCCCGTTTTTCCTCCTTTTCATTTATGTTGTGTACAATGCCATTGCTCAACTAGTGCTTGGATAACTGGGCAGTCACTTCCTTCCTGTCTTGAATGGCAAGTCTTTCGGGGAGAGGTAGGGGGCTGTCAATTGCACTGCTGTGACTTGCTCACTCAGACCACTTTCTACCTCTTGTTCCCTTCAGCTGCAGTGGGAGGGGCTTCCAGGAGGGAGGGCAGGGGACAGCAAGGTTTCAGGACATTTTATAAACTAAAGCCCTTTGGAAGGGTAGGCTTGAGGAACAGATCTACGTGGTCCTGAGGTTTCATGCAAATGGAAAATGATTAGAGAAAGATAAAGAAATGGATTTTAAATGCAAATTTTGTCTATTTCTTATTTTTACCAGAGTTTCTTATTTTCTAAGATCTTAAATTTCCCAACTAGTATTGCTGTAATTAGTTCTGTTTTCTTACTGGTTGCATAAGTTTTTATAGGCTAATCTACTCAATACTCTTTGTAATGTTTTGTTTATGTGGAAAATATCTTCTTAAAAATTGCCTGCAAACATTGGGGTTTTTTTAAGCATACAGTAGTTGTACAGGGGTACACTGTGATAGTTGCATATGTGCTTACAATATATCTGAGTCAGATTCACCCCCTCCATTATTGTCCTTCATCTCCCCTCTCCCCAAAACTATTTTTTTTTGCCAGTACTGGGGTTTGAACTCTGGGCTTTGTGTTTGCTAGGGAAACACTCTACCCATTTTAACCATGCCTCCAGTCCTAAACATTACCTTAACAATGATTTATAAGTCTATAATTCTGTTTAAAATATCAGAAAGTTAGGAACACACCACAGGATACCTTTTTCCCACTCTTAAGTCAAGAAAAATGTAAATGATAAAAACGGGCAAGGTCATCAAAAAAAGAAGTTTCCCATACATCCTGAATTTTCTCATGCTGTTTGATGTCATGTGATTTTAACCTCAATGCATACATTTCAACATAACTTAAGTTTTATGTCTGTAAGTCTTAACTGATCAATAAAATTATAAATCAGAAAAGTGCCTGGTTAGGCCAATCTTTGGCTCAGCAAATTTGGACTCTAAGCTGTTCACAAACAATTTGCACACAGCTACGAGTCCCTGACTCTCCCATTAGCTCTACACAGAAGGTGAGCACTGAAATGTGCTGACGCCGCTCGGCACAAGTTCTTACTCTTGAAGAGTCAGGAACTCTAAGAAAACGTTCGGTTGGATTCTGGTTTGGCGCCGTGCGTTGTAGTGATTTAGTGTTCTTCTGCTCTGTTTCGACCGACGTTCCTGGCTCGGTGCAGACGGAGGAAGATCAGATTCGGCCTAATATGGAATTCCCCTAAAG